TTGCTGTGCTAGTATGTGATGTTAACTTGAACCAGTGCACATTCGTGTTAGGATATATGTTGCATATAACCGACTGACCTTATATGCATTACGTGAAGTACATTTACTAAATGCCGATATCATCGTCATTATTTCGATAAGTCTTTCATTTTACCATTTTCTTTATTCAGTGTTGATATAAATAGCAACTTGAACATATATATAATTACGCTCTATATGATCTATGACTGATGCTTATATCTTTCTAACCAACCAACCATTAGGTTTTGTCCGGTACAGATAATTCCAAAGTAACCATGTTACATATCACAATAGATGTCACATATTTATTTATAGCATAAGGATTGTTCTATATTAGGAGGCAAATAATGGGCCAGGTTCTGCGATAATTTTATTCAATTGACAATCCAGTAGCGTAAAACCATAAGGAAGAATAATTTCCCGTGGTACAGGATCGAACGAGTAATGTTTATTCTTTTCAGCATACTACCTTAGAGTGATTTAATTGAAATTAAGTGTAGTAATGGACGAGTGAGATGATATACAGATGATTTGAAACACTTTGTTATTAGTTAATAGTAGGAACTTAAGATCCTAAATTCTACAGGAAATTCACCGGAACTGCGAGATTATTTAGCCAGCTGATCGTGTATTATATCAGTTTTATTAATAAAATAGCTTTTTAAGCACTAAATGCTTAGTACAGTGTGCGTAATTAAAAATGTGCAGTGGTATTTTCCCTCATCGAGTAAATCTTTTAATTTTAAATATATCTGAAGGTGTAGAAGCATCTTTGATAATTATTTAAGTTGGATTTCTCAGTTACAGTGAAACAGAAGTCTCAGACTTCCGTATTGAATGTCTATCACTTTTAGAACATTAAAAATACTTGTTCTAAGGATTGGTTCTTTTCCTCACGCTTTTAGAGACTTTTTGTGTTGTCCTCTCTATGAGATCACTTAACAGTTTTAATGGAGAAAGTAAAACATCATTGTGGTAGACCAACATACTCCTTTCCGGTCAGGGACTGAATGCAATGTAGCAACTGCAATAATTGTTAGCACAACGCGCGCACCAGACTTACACCGGCTACATATAAAAGGTGTTGCTAGCCACTATTACGTTGGCTAAGCAAAGCATGTTGTTCTACAAAGTTTCTACAGATCCTTGAAGCGATTGAGCTGCTAGACATAGCTAGAAAGACGCCCTCTGATAAACAGCCAACAGTGCATGAGCGGCTGTCAGTTTATGAGGAAGCAGAGAGAGCTACTATGAGTCGGCTTTGGAGTTGAATGGAACCATCAAGGTGGGCCCCAAAACGTAGCGGATAACAAATACACAGATGTAGGCATAGTTACAAGGAAAGAGAAAAAGCACGCGAAGAAACAAATTATGAGGAGCTATAAGATAAATGAGACGAGGATTTCAGCTCTGGATTACCATATCAACGCAAAACAGACTATGGATAATCAAAGCCTGAACGGTGTAGATGATTTGACAAAATAGGTTCAATGATTGGCTTACAGTCACACCCAAGAAAAGAAGCATAGTAAGACCTCTGAGTTTGACGCCAAATCGGACTGTAGGGAGAGTTTAGGCGACAAAACTCCACAGCTTGTTAAGACGGACCTTGCTAAGAAGTCAGTCATTTTTCATAAGTTGAGAGTCTTCCGAAAAGAAACTGAATGCTAGATTTGAATAGGAAGACAAAGTAAGTCCTTAATAAGCAAGCTACTTTTAGAAACAGTAGCAGGAGTTAACATTCATGGGTTTTATAAAGTAGAACAAAGAGTGAGTTCTGAAAGTACGCAGAAAGGCCGCCTCCTAAAGGTTACCTTTGCTTCGGCTGAAGAAAAAAACCTAATTCTCGGAAAACCCACAAGGGTCAAAACTAATTGGATCCGGAACATACATCCATAAGGATCTTAGCCTGGTTGGTCGTATTAAGAGACGATAAGCCGAAGTAGAAACAAATGAGCGCCTGCGAAACAGTAAAAAACCACTTACTTAAGGGTTTTCAACTTGTAAAAGTTCGGAGTGGAAAGATCCCCGAACCATTTTAGGTGGTAAGGGAAAGTTCTTCACAGAATTAAATGTGTGCTACACGAATGCTCGCAGCCCACAAAATAAAATGGCAGGGCTCAAGAAAATGGAGGGAATAGAAAACCCTGATGTCATTGCTGTCTCAGAAACATGGTTAACGTCAGAAGTGTATGACACTGAAGTTTAATTGATGGGTTTTTTACTCAGTAACGTTGATAGACTAAACTGTAGGGGCGGTGGGGTTATCCTGAACACAAAAAGCACCTTAAACTAAGAAGCGTCGAGACAGTGGCACACGACTCAGGGACATGTGAACTGGTGCGATGCCTGCTAAAATGTAAACGCCAAGATATTGAATTAGTTGTGGTATACCGCAGTCCAGAATGTGCAAAGAATGACTTACTCCTAAGTAAACTTACATTTCGGTCAAACAAGTGTGAAGGTCCTATAGTAGGTGACTTTAATGCAGTCTATAAATCGGGGAAATTTGGAAGTAAAGTCATCGAAAACACCACTTGATTGCAAATTGTTAGCAATCAGAATCGCTCTAACTTTATTCCAGCACATAAGAGATCCCACCCACTTATCGACTTAGAATACGCAGATGATATAGTCCCGTTTGGTGAAGACGTTGATAAAATGAAGTCTTGTGGTAGCGCTAAGCAACAATGCCAGAATGTTTGGGATGCGTTTCTCATCCGTTTAGGTAACAGTGATGTTAGATGCCGGGTTTTAGGGAATGATGGTAAATCAGTTGATGAAATTGTGAATCTTCATCGACTGAGATGATTGGGCCACGTGTTACGCATGCCTGGACACAGATTACTACGACGCGCAATGCCGGATAGTGATGGAAGTTAGGGAAGGGCAAACCAAATAGTGGCACCAGTGTGTAAAGTCACTAACTTCTAGTCTGAGCCATGTCGGTAAATGCAGACTATTTGGTTGATGTCCGCGTGACTATCGTAACTAATGGTTGGAGACTATGGGTGACACGGCTCTGAATCGATCACAATGGCGTAGGTGTATACACCGTTCGTCTTCTCTTAAACAGTGAGATTGAAATTGCTTTGTATCTTTCTTTCTACCAACTAATTTTTTCTTCCTGTACCGTATCCTTATATACAATCTTTCTTTCGTATATTACAACAGTTGAAGTGACTACTTCTATGAATTCGGTGTTGATCTTGTTGTGGCGTGTTGAACCGATGCGTATATGTACCTGGTTCTACGTTGCAGCTGAATAACTATCTATAATCAAGCAGTCTAACTGTTCTCTTACATAAATTACAGAACGAGAACGCAGCATTAGATTCTCAACCTAATTACGAAAGGGAGTGGATCTCAAATGATAGATGATGATCAGGACAAATTAGAGGCAATGGTGGACCATTTCGGGAGTTTTCACTCACGAGCTTCTTCTAAACAAAGAACTAGACACAAATACAGAGTAACAAAACCAGTTGCTAATCGTTGACTTTGATGGAGACGATGTACTAAATGCCGTTAGCACTTAAGATACGTAAAAAACGACAAGACCAAATAAACTACACCATAGATCCTTTACTTTCTATATAGTACGAACTCGAAAGTATAGTTGAGTCTCCAATGCTACTATAATCTGATGCAAAAGTCTGGTGAAAAATATGAGATGCATATGCATGTGCACTTTTGGCATACTTAGATGTTGCGATTAAATGATCTAAAGAATGACTAATGCCTATCGACGAGGCCGAGTGCGCCTACATGCACACTGGATAAAAATGCAAACAGTTACAGCATAAGGAAGAGTCCGCGCCCATATTCGTCTCTCAAGGATTTTGGGTTGAAAGTGAGCCATAATCTTAAGGCCGCAGGGTCGCAGCTAAGGGGTTCAGAGCCCTATGGGCTTTAGGACGGTCACTGACCAATATAGATACTACTGTTTTAATGGTAGTATGAACATACTCAGTGAGATTCAAATTTTAGAAGTGCATTCAGGCTACGAACCCTCGTTTAAAAGGTGACTCGCATATACTGAAAAAGTACGGAGAGCAGCTACCTATGCAACTCCAGAACTCCGGGGTTTACCACACACATAGAGACTTGGGAAGATGGTGCATATTTGTAGCTTAGGTGGGCAAATTTGATGGGGTTTTATTCCCTGAGGATAGTTTGGCCGTAGAATTTTGTGCTAATGATATCGTCCAGAAGAATGATGAGAGCTCCAAGACCAAACCATCCAGCTCAAAGCAAAACTCTATCGAAAGCGACTTGAGAATTCAGACTTCATAACTCCGTCGTAGCACGTATTAGGTGATCTGATTTTAGAGTATAGAATACTAAGAAATGGTTTCGGGCCCGATATCCAGTCTTAATTTCTTCCTACCAGGTTAGAACAACATAGCGGACGAGTAGAAAAGCGACGAATAAACGAAATATCATGCCACACAAGTTTTCATACTGGGTCATCAATTCTTGAAAGTTGTCACTCGAAAAAGTGGTGTTTGACACTCCAATTGATTGGACACTGTCAAAAGCTTACAAAAAAGAACTAACACAGGACGCATGTCTTCCGTTCCTGCTACACAAACCTGAATCTGGGATTCTTAACACAGTTGTGACATTAATGAAAATGCCGCATCAGACTGATACTTTCGCTGACCAAACTAAGGACTTAGAGTATTCCACTACAGACCCACCTGCATTGTATCGTTAACTATGTACTGTTGCATTTTGTGCATAACAATATACCGACCTAATATTAAAAAGGTTGCCGTCATTTCTGAAAACAGACAATATACATCTGAAGAATGCACAACATTTCAACTACCAAACCGGAAAAGGAGAAAGGAAGGAGTTATCTGTTAGTTCTGAGTGCATATATAGAACCTACTACGTTATTGTGGAAATCGATTTTGCGCCCAGGTTAGAGCGCGCACTTTGAAATAAACTAAAACAAATTATAATAAACAGTTCTCAACTTTCTATCAACAAATAATGAATAATGATGTATAAAAAATTATTTTCGGTCTACTCTACAACATTCACTGTCTCATCTACCAGTTGATGATGAAGTCCATCTTATTCCGTGCATCCGGTTTTGAAATTCGCTACGAAACTTGGCCATTTTACAATTTCATGTATTTTAGTCCCTGTGTGGGCTCAACAAGCTTTCCAATTGACTGGCCACTTTGGACAAAACATCGTTTACCTCGAAATGAAGGAATTATCCCAAGGTATTATAAATGAAAATGTTTTTATATACTTAAAGACTCAATAGAGGAAAGATATGAAATGCTTAAGAACTTGTGCAAACAACAGATCTTGGTAAGTGTGTTTGTCTTTTGGTTTCTTACATGTCTAAAGATAAATGAGACTCTGAAATCAGAAATCACTAAGTTAAACAATATTATCCGCATAGTTTCTAGTGAGAAAGAGTAAGTTCTTGGGTCTTCGTCAACTACGGCTTATAATTTTAGTTTACTACTGGATGAATTGATCAATAATCATTCTACTTGTCGGAACGCTGTCAGAGACGACTCCAAAGCTTTTCAAAAGTAGGTTTCTATCTGCTTATAACACTTTAGATCGGTTATCTCTGCCGGCAATAAACGTCCTGTGAATTTTTCCGAGAATTGTCAGGATCTAAAAAAAATAAAGAGTGACCCGCATGTCGCTGGTAAGTCCACTGTAGTAGATATTTTTTCCTAAGAAAAGACGTACTATACTCTTTTTCGTTGTACTTTATTGAAATAAAGTCCATTGTCCCTAGGGTTTCACTTCGACATAACAGTCCGTCACTATAGATTGGTCTAATGGGAAGAGGCAAAATGTGATCAAAACTTCGCTCTTGATGATCACTATCAATAAATCTCAGATCACTTTAGATAAATATGAAAGTACTTCACATTGGCTGCGTATTTATGCGGTAAGATCCATCCAAATGAAATACCTTGTTAACGTCAAGCGTCATGAGTCACCAGTCTTTAATGTATAACATGCCATATTACTATTATTCGTTGCATTAACTGGTAATTAGTCACTCTTTAGTATTCCTGTCTGATTTTCTAAGGAACTGTGCTATGTAAGGACAATCCATTTTCAAATAATGTTATTGGTAGTTGGTAGGTCACTAAGGGAATCTTGGTTAGTTAGTCATGATCAGCGTAGTCTGTCACAAATGTACGTCAGCCTTGATTCTCACACCACAAATGAAATTGATACAAGTAATTACAAAGGAGTGAAAATTATCGTGAGAATTTAACATCTAGAATATGGTTCGAGAAGGAATTAAGAGGTATGTTTGATTGAATGCTGGAACTCAGAACCTAAAGGACAATAAAGAGTGAATACATCTGCTTCTGTGATAATTAATGAATAATGTCGTACATTGCTTTCAACCACTGATCTTAAGTAAATCACACTGATTCTGAAAGTCCATGATTTTCACAATAGTTCTGTCCAACAAACGTCACTTTAAAAGTGAATGAAGGAAAAGTAAATTAGCAGCCTGTCGGTTGCTGTTGTGTTCGTTGACTCAAGCAAAACTTTCGATTAGAGTTTAAACTATAAAATCTCGTTTTCTTTTTCATTCATAGATCATAACGAAAATGCGGGTTTCCACAGTGACCCAACCAGTTTATTAGCTTTTAATTCAATCTCAGCACAAGAAAATGTAAGTTTAAGTTGAATTTATCTACATACTAAAATAGTTATTCCTATTTTGTCTCTGATAATCCTCATATCCTAACTAATAGGTATAAAATATACCTTTTTAAAGTTGAAAACATCAGAGACGTACGAATTATTATCCATAGATAGACTCAAAGTGCTTGAATGTTAAACATAACCATTACATATTCATTGCTAATATGAGACAGAATACTGCTAGATCCATCACTTGATGTTGTGCCGATTTGTTGCTGTAGGACGTATTATGCATTTGAACTTATTCAGTTATCAAAAGAATGTTTTAATCCTTAACTCTAATAAAGTCTCTATTACTTCCCTGTTTAGGAAGATCGTTGGATTTCGCATGACCAAGTAGAGACGAACCACAGTCATCTGTCTGGTCATTCATCTCTTACATCTACTAAACCCAGGTTACAATACCAAATCCCTTCAGTCCATTCAAAGACAACCATTTCCGCTACTCCGAGTGGCGATAATGATACCTCATCACGGCTGCTAAGTTCTGGAAATACTTTGAAATCGAGCCTGAGTAATCCAGGATCGCCGCCCACAATCACTTCAAATACTCATTTAGTCACACCAGTTGCTGCTAGTTCCAATAATTTACCTACTACCCAGCGATCAAACAGAAGTGGTTCTCTTGTAACTAACTCGTCAGTATGTCCTTCAAATCCATCGATTCCTTATGTATCATTCGCATCCCAACGAACACCTATTGGTTCCCACTCAAAATATGTATCTGTAACAAACCGCCCCCTAAAAGTTGTTAGTCCTGGGACTGTAAATAATACAGCTAGTAACATTTTAAAGTCTGTGACTTCGCCTACTATATCCCCTGGAATTCGATTGTCGAGTAGTCAACCAACAAACCAGCGTATTTTAATTCAACCAAGCAACTGTAACGCTCGTTCAGTTGTCTTTCCTCGACAACAATCTCATGCAAAGTAAATCGGTTTTTGTGTTAACTGTTTGGATTATTTCTATCCTAGCACTTTTATGTACTCTTAATCAGGTAAAATAGTATATAAAAATGTTTTAAGTTTTAAAGCTTCAAAATATAATCTAGCCATGATATCGTTAAATGCTTTCAATGGGACAAAGCAGTGTTTCTTGAGTGCTGTTAGAGGTATGAGGGCGGTTATCACTTTCAGGTTGCCCACACCGTGGAAGGGTTCTTCTGGAAATTGGATTAGAGGTAGTCTTAGTGACCTGGGAGCGTGACCACAGTGCTCAAGTGACAACTGCTTGGGGTAATTTTTGTGTTAGCTCCGTACTTGTTGAGACCCTACCGCTAGAGACGGATATCCGTGGGATAAGGCGAGGTGTGCATTTTTAGGATCGACCTTTTCTAACCCTCCACTCCTCCTTGTGGGAAGGCAGCATCGCTGCCATGCTGGTTGTCTTAATGAAACACCTTACTGCTGTCAGACCTCTGTACAGTCAGCATTGTTTCAGGAGCATATGTAGGAAGTCGATAACTGTCCTGAGCACCTTGTAAAAAAATACCATCACTTATTTCTATTGTTCCAAATTGGCGGTGATAAGTGGCATTCTAAAGCCGTCTTTTAATAACATATTTGACATTGTTGTAGGCTTGTCTGGCGATAAACTTGCCGATTGTGAATAGGTAGTCTGCTACAATGAAGTGACAAGTAAACTACTCAAATTATACATAATCAGTTGGAGTTCAACAATTAGTTTATGACAAGTATTGTACATCATCAGTATGTATTTATGAAATTTGTTAAATTTTATGCCCGAATCCAATTCCTGATGATGTATTAAAAGGTTTACGTACTTGTATAAATGTGTCAATGGTTATGCTGACATAGCAAATAAAATCAATCTACACAGTGAGGACCAGAGTTGCACATGGCACTATTGGCCCCTTAGCTCTGTTATTACCTCAGTCTAGTGAATAACACTGGGATGCAAATAGTTCTACTCAACCCTTATGAAACTTGTCTATCTAAAGTGAGGCTGTTTGAACACCATCCCCACGAGTTTCCTCTTGTTTAGTAACAATACCATGTAAGTGATCCAGGAGTGTGCTGTTCCAGTTGACAGGACAAGATATTTCGACCTTTATTAATTGCTAATGTTTCTCCATTATCAAAGCTATTTGTTAGTTCTCTCATTTCATTTTCATTTTTAGTGATTCTTGCGAATTTGGGTACGCAGAGAGATGAATGGCTTATTTAACAAGTATCATTATGTATATTTGAAACTAATTATTTCATGTGATTGTTGGTATTATTATTATCATGTTGGTATAAAGTGAACCATAACCATAATTGTACAGTCTCATAAATATTTATTTGTCAATTCATACGTAAATATATTTCACCCTATTTTTCGCTCTTTTCATACGTATTTTGTAAGACAACATGGTTTCGACTTGTTTCTGTAGCTCTACTATCAACCAGTTCTCTTCATTCTACTTTATGGGTGCTAAGCATGGAATTTAAAAATAAGGGATACTAGTATTCGATCATTATTAGTATCTTCGAACCGTTGTTCGTATATTTTAGGATCATTGAGTTAGCAATTCTGAGGCTAGGCGCAGAGTACTAGGTAAATATGACAAACTGATTAACGAAGTGGTGAATCTTTATCGATTGAGATGGTTAGAATATTTAATACGTATACCCATACACTGAATACCTCGATGCTCATGGATGAATGAAATAAGAATAGGTTGGGAGAAAGATGAGGTAGGCCAAACCAAAACCTGACATTAGTCCACTAAGTCACTGGCTGTAGGTGTAAACTACTCGGTTGGAGTCCACATGGTTATCGTAACTAGAGATTACAGACTTTGAGTGACATAGTCCAGAATTATTCACAATGACGGAGGAGCATTCACTCTTAATTTCTCAATTCCTCATAAAAAAATTTGTTCCTCTGATTTATATTTTTTGAATCATATCTTCAGTGCCTGTTACTACCTATGCTATGGGATTTGTCCTGACAATTTCGTCTCGTGTTAATGATGTGTGGCAACCGATCTACTCATGTGTCACGTTTTGAGTTGCGTTTGACAGACTCTATAGTCTAAGGTTTTCCCAGCTAGTCAGAATGTCACATTAAAAAATAATTTTGTTTCAGTGAGTTGTTAAATGATAGAACTGTATATACTTTTGATATTATATACACTCCAACTAGACTGAGAAAGATCTACTGGACAATTGGCTGTATTCGTAAATGATGTACAAGTTTAACTCAAAGCTAATCAAATGATTCCAAATAGTGTCATTGTAGTAGTTTATCGTTAATTCATCAGATGATTTATTCGTACCCTATGCGTCATTTTCTTATATATTGGCTCCATGGTTTAAATATCCTACAAACCACTTAGTAATATGTATGTTGCAATAAATCACCTAACTGTAATGGATACAATTCAGTAATTTTTTGTTAGTTAATTTAGGTGAGGTAAAATATCTTTATTGACTTCGTACAAAAGATTTTCTATTTAGTCTTTTCGTGATGTTGGGTGGATATCTATTAAAGGATGACTTGTTAATGAAAGACTAACTTAATAGAAGGTACAAACCAATTCGGCTTAATAACTAGATTTTCCTCATTAGTACATAGGTGTTCTATAGTGTCAAATATTCCTTAAATTGTTTTATGAATGCAAATAAGCGCTCATCAAACTTTATCATCATCTCACAAATGTTTCAATTAGACTACCCACTAAATTGGGGTTAATTAATAAATGTTAGCCTAGTGTAATTTTTACTTATACTACCATGTTGGAATCCACGAAATAAAGTCGGGGGTGACCAAACCGTGCTGTCAGTTCATGAAATTATTGACCATTAGATTAAACCGTGTTGATAAATACTGACTACATTATTAGGATATGTATGATCAATGACTGAAGACGTATGACATGTCGTAGATGAGTTCACTCTCCGTCTTCCTCCAGCTCTTGGGTTACAATATATTTATTCATATTTGCCTTTTCGGAATATATTTCCAGTATTCAGTTCGTCGTTTCCGTTTATACTATTATTATTTGGACTACTATTCATATTGTTGTGCTCATGTGTTATGGTGACTTCGGTTTGTGTATTGTTGTATCGAGTTGTACTTTAATTTTGAGTGATATGGGTCAATATCAACTGTGCAGCTCTACTTGTTTTTCGAACATATTGCTGGGATTCCTATCATCACCATTCTACTGTTGATGTATTTTCGTCAATTCTTATTCAAAGCTTGATAATACAGAATGATACCAATCAATCATTATTTAGCAAACCGTTGGTTTAAATAGTCAACTCCCAACCTATTATTAAGTTTCAAGTTCGAACTGCACTTCGGGTAGTATTACTAGTCTTTATTCAATCAATGGATTGCTCAAAGCTGGGTTTATAAGCTTGTGGTTGATCAATAAGTCAACTAATCGCAACCGAGTAAATATCCGACCTTCTATTGAGTATTCACTTTCACACGCACATTCGTCTAGATTTTAGAGGTAATCGTGTACAAAATGAAATCTTTTTAATGAAGCTACAATCGAGAACAGGAAAAGCTAAGATGAAATCCGTATTTCCAAAGTCTAACACTTCAGTATAACATTTTAGAAGTAAAATAACTAGCTTCCTGACAGCTCTAAGAGATTCCCATTTTGGAAGAAAACATTTCATTAATACTGAAGCATAAAGAAATGATAGTTTGTTAGTCTGAATGGAATAGATCCTTGATGATTCAAGTGAAACTGAGTAACGATCAATGAGTTGAAACAAAAAACTTCTTTCCAAAACACCATACAATCGTTTTATGACCAAAATGCCTTGAGTTAGTATTTGAAGTTAAGCTAGTTAACTATTCCAAATGATGATAATTTATTGAAGATAAGCTCAGAAATCAAAATGAATAAGGTCATTTTTTAATAAATCAGGTAGATGAATTATTCTCAAGCTGTCTGTTAGATATGTGATCATACATTGTCATGAAGATATTTGATGGCTAACATCAGTCAACAGGAAATTCTTCTTGGCCAAGATGGATGCTAATTAGCAAGGTAGCTCTTCAATCATAGAGAAACTGATAACCATTGTAGGATCCGATCATACAATATCACAGTCAGATATTACCATTGAGTTATTTAAGTATCGGCTGATTTTATATAGGGTTGAGACATTTATATAATTTATTTAATTCTTGTCATGAAAAAGAAATGATCCTGTTCGACAGTTTTGATCTTAACAACAATGACGTAGCTTTACATGCATTTTAATTTCTTGAAAATACTTTTTTACTGAGGCTTATTAATCGATGAATGCTAAGAATAGTTTCTTTGTTAATTTTGTGTTTATGTTGATAATGTGAGTTATTTTGAATTGTTTGAAATCCATGTTAGATACGGGATTGAGATTACTTTCTGGATTTATGGAGTACAGAGATATAGTTAAGGAGCTCTCGGAGAAATGATGAAAGTGTAGTGCCGGTTACTATGTTAAGCCTATATAACTTATTCTAGCTTTCGAACAGACCAATCTATTCATTCTAGTTGAGTCACATTTTGTTAATTATTCCCTTATCAACTTTGACTGTTTTTATATAAGCGTATGTGTGTGTGTGTGTACATTTCTTATCCTATTCATCACATATTTGTAGCTTATTCTTGTGTGACTATAAATAATAATTAACCCTCGGTTAAAGGGAGTTGGCTCATATGCCTTCACTGCGCGTCATTTCGCTTCGCTTCATTCCCCGATTAGCTGCCCAAATCAATGAGTCCATGAAAGATACATATTCAAAATCCATTCTCGTATTTGATTTATTTAATTCCATTATTCACTAACGCGATCTATGTCGATAATTACTTACGAGAACTGACGATATGTGTACTTCAATAACAATCATTCATATGATCTCGCTGGAGTCAGATCCTGGGTCACTAAAGTGGTGAGCCCATCAACAACATCGTGCGGTCTAATTGTTGCCCCCAAATGCCCTGGTATGGTGGAGAGTGGGGTGTGCCCGCCTTCCCTCTCGAAATGCTCTCACACGGTCACGCGTACACAGCCTCTGCCAGGGAAGTCCTACTCACTGCCTTCTCGTGGCATTACTAATGTTTACGAAAATGAGAGGACGAAAAGCGAATGTTCAGCGCTTTAACCAGATTCCAAACCAATGGTGCACATGAGCTACAGTATCCTTCGGGAACAAATGGCGTATGAACCGATTGTTGGTCACCGGCTTCCATGGGACTGCATCTCCTCACGATGCTCTACTGCCTTGTGGGTTAGACCATTAGGTCAAAGGTTCGGAGTGTGGCCCTCTAAGAAAGCCACCTGCTTTGATCTGGGCACCCGGGCAGTATCACAGCCCTCACACAAATATGATGAACTATCGATAATGGCCTAATTGTTGTCAAAGGGAATATCCCCACTGTTGTATTCGCTTCCTTCCCTTGAAATACTTGAACATGTAATCAATCAAATTTTTATTTCATTATCCTCTTTTCTTTTAATATAGCTTAAGTTGTGCTTTAGTGTACGTTGCTTATGTCTATCCTTATATCTGTTTGTCTAACTATCAACAAGAAAACAAATACAAATGTCACCATCATTCTCTCTGTTTTATACAAAATTGGGTACGTTTATTGATATTTAGTTGTTTATAAATGGGTATCCATCATATTGTTAATATGGATTTTTTAAAAGTCTATGATCTTAACACCCTTATTCTCATATCGGTTTTCTTTCTTGCATTAGTGTAACATAGTAGTAATACATTCAGAATAATCAATTAGACAAGCGTCAACTGTAGGGCTTCTTTGTTTGTGTTTTTTTACTAAGGTCTATATTTTCCCAGCGTTCGTTTGTTTATGATCACTCAGAGTATTGATACATAATCTTCTGAATTCTTCATGTCCTTTTTTTCACTGAATTATACTCCTTGTATAACATCTTCAAACTCTAATCTTCCCGATTACTTCTTATAGTCTTACTACTTCTACCACTACAGGATTTGAATCAACAATTGTATCTCTGTGTCTATGTGGTATGGTAAATCGAACTGATGAACGTACGTACGTACGAAGTTCTACGTTGTCACTGACTGACTGAGAGTATTGATACAAGTTTTGGGTACATTTTCTTGAACTCAATAATTTAGTGGACAAGTGTACTGTTTGCATTAATGAATACGAATTAATAATAGTATTAAAATTTTGACAATAATCACAAAAGTATTCATGTAATGTGAATGACTGGAGTTATCCCAAACGGTGTATTGTGAACATTTCCAATTAATCATTGTGGATAAGCCGAGTCAAAGAATTGTGTTCAAACAACTAGAAATCTAAACATTCAAACTGACAATCATTCAAGTTAC